GGACTCTGTAGAAGAGGACCCTCTGTAGATATAAACGGCTCATTCTAAGGTAAACACAACAATTCTTATTTTCAGGTGATTATACACTAATGAAAATATACCCATGAATATTATATCATTATATTATTCAAGTCCATTATCTGTGTATTCAGACTGCAGTCATCATAGTAGTACCATATTTAGCACAGTAGCCTACTGGGTAAGAGTGAGCTCATGCAAAGCGAGCTGGCAGAGACAGCTTGTGTGACTGGTAGGGCAGGACTTAAATTTCTTTCAGTTTGTGAAGCGTGCAACTTATTTATTTACCATGTTCTCTTTTCTTTGCTTTCTTTTGATCACCTATGTCAAATATGACCTGAAGGGTTTGGCAATCACTCAGTCTGTACACAAGATGCAGTGAACCGGAAAGAGAAGCCGTTCCTGATAAAGATCAACTAGATTGTTGAGATAGTTTAGATAGTTTGATGCGTCAGAGTATGCACTTCATTGTCATTGAGTTTGCTTAACAGGTTATTTGAGCCAAATCACAAAATAAAGAGTAAAAGGCAAAAATAAAACAGTATGGGAGATTTTCCACTGGAGGAAGTTTATTAAAGGCCGGTGTTAAAGTGACATAGATGAAGTTGGCTGCAGCTGCTTCACTCTGACACCTGTGATATTAGTTCATTCTTCATGATAAGTTGGTGATTACCTGTGTTAACCTGTTGCTTCAGTGTATGCAGAAAGAAACATTTTCAGAGGGAACTACAGATCCAGTATCAGTGTTTTAGAATTCACCAATAAGGATTTAATCCCTCAGGTGCTTTTCTAAAAAAAAAAGTTGCTCTTTCTCTTCATTTTGTGCAACAAAAAGGCTCTGATAACCACAAAACAAGGGATCTCATTAAAAGTTCACATGTGATGATCCTGACATGTGAACGATGAGTGCAGCCGCAGTGCAATGCTTTGTTTAAACTGGGTGTGTGTGGACGCACAACCTGAGCCAGACAAGAGGTACACAGAACAAATGTTTGTCATTGGTTAGTTATGTTAGCTGGTTCGTGGGTAATTAATAATGAATGAAAGAACATGTCTGGCTACAGTATTTAAGCAATTAACCTAGATGATGATGAAACTGGAGTCATGTGTGTGTCAAGAGACAGCGCTGTCTCCAGGCTGACCTTTTACTGTTTACAGCAAAAAGGGGTCTTGAGTATGCCCTCTTTTGCAACATAGATATATACATTATCATCAGTTTATGATTGAAGATTTAGTGCTACAAAAACAGCACTGCTGTTAGTAAAATTACTAGTATTGTAAAGAAAGATGTGAGATCAGACTGATTCTGAATCTGACAGATTCTAGGATCTATTTGGTGAACAGTGAACATTTCAGACAACATTGGCTGGGGTTGCTGGGGTGTAAACTTCCACAAATCCAATAAAGAGCAGGACAGAGCTGCTAATGCAAACAGTCGATTGATAAAGCATCTTAAAATCTCATGTGCAACTGGCCTTTTTATGCCTCTGTGCATTTCTGAGGATTCAGACAATAAAAAGTGTCAAAAGTAACAAAAACCTGTGGGTCACACTGAGCTGCAATAGCTTTTCCTGATTACTCTTATTGTTTAACATACAGCAAGTTTAAGATTATGTCTCTGCAAAGTGCCTTGTGTGATTATATTTTGCATTTGTTTGAAAATGTCTAGTTACTTGTGTTTAAAAGCACAGATAGGCTTTAAAAATGAGTGCAATGTTGGTGAAAAGCCCAGACCTAACCTTGAATTATTATGGACATGAAGCTAGAATTGCAAGTATAGAAAGATGGCCTCCATTGGACCCCAAAATACTATTATCCCATCCAGTGAAAATGGTTCTACAAATGTTTTCAGCAGTCGGACAGTTCTTCTATAAGATTGTACCATGTTTTCAATGACCTGCAAGGCTTTTATTTTAGTTTAGTAACATTCACAACAGCATTAACATTGTGCATGACAAAAGTCAGATGAAGTTGCTTGCATTATAATTTATTAGCACAGTAGAAAGTATGCCAACTGGCAGCTGGAGGTTATACATGCTGTTATACATTGTTAAACATAAGTATATTTACTGCATTAGGCTACTCTTACACTGCTCATTTGTTATTGTCATTTATCACTAATATTACACAGTCCAATATATTTGAATAACAGTATTTTCCTAATCTTTACCATTGTATCTACTCTCAATCTGCATAGATCTGTAAGAAGAGATTTATTCATAAAGAAACATTTTGTGTTGCACATTGATGTTTAATCATTTAAAGCAAATTTAAAGGGAAATTTCCTTGCAGCCTTAATATTAACAGATCAGCAGTAGCCTAATAACAAGGGGATGAATGAAGAGTTATACCATAGCTTTTACACTGAGAAGAAAAAATCAAAAGCCAGTCATTTAGTCATTGTAGACAGCCTACACACCACTTAAAGAGATCTTCCATGACAAACAGAGATTGGTGGACACTGAGCACCTGCTTTACAGGGAGCATTAGTGTGTGCACTTCATGAGCAAGCCAGAGGTGGTCACAACCCAGAGGTTGCGCAGGTCATAGGACATGTGGCGGACTGACATGCACATTGAGACCAGGGACCAACTTGTGCCTCTGGGGTTAGAACTGGTGATGCCCGCTCTGTTGAGAAAGAAGCCGGAGAAATACTGTGTTTAAAACCATCTTCCCATTACTGACTAATGACTATGTTAAGGAAAAGCCCTTCTGCTTTTTTTTCTGTTCAAGGTGAAAACACAAAATCTGCTGTGGAATCTGTTTGTTAACAATCCAGAATATGTGTGTATCAAAAATGATTAAGATCTAAAATCATATTAACTTACTGTGTTTTCCTGGAAATTTTGTTAAAAAAGCTACCCTGTGAGGAACAACTAAAAGAAATATGTTAAGAAAAACTTGCAATATAGCCTCATACTTTGACCAATTTGAAAACTATCAATTATTATTATGCTGAGCTCAGCTGGTGCTTTAATTGCTGTAATAGAAATTGTAAAATTTCTCGGTGGACATTAATGGGTTAACAACTCTTTTTCCATCAGCAGACACTTTGCATAACGTTTATAAAGGCTTGCCTTTCTTTTACAAAAAAGAAAACAGTTCTGGTACAGCGCATATATTTGTGAATATTTGTCATAACTAAGTGCTATAATTAAATGCCACACTTTTAAACTCACACATTATATCAGAGGTGGAAGTGATAATGTTAAAACAACAATTAAAAATAAGTTATATGATATTGACTTTTAATTTAGCACACATGCATGCAAGACATAATTTAGTTTAGTAAGTATAAAACTGACATTATCCTAATTATTCATATATTTTTATTAGGAGTACTGTTATTATTTTTCTTGTATTATACACAAGTTTATTATAGTTAATATTATAGCTAATATTGAAACAGTAAAAACTAAACTGAAACAACAACACACTCTGGAAACTAAACTAAATCAAATTTAAACCAAAATGAACCCTGTTGTATCTTTAAACGCAGTAAATAAAGCTAATCCTCTCAAAATGATTGTCTTACCTTTGGTAGACCTTGCCACTTGTGGTCAATCCAAAAACAGTTCCATCAGTCCCCACTTCAATCACTTTGAGGCTTAGCCCGGATATTTGATACCAGCCACTGGTGCCACAGCTGGATGGGACTATTGTCTGTCATAAGAAGCATAAATGGAGACATTGTTATGATCAATGAGTTAGTGTTACTCATGTGTCAAGAGTTAAAAGGCATGAGATTTTATAAGCACTGCAGTGTCCAACCTGTGTGTAGTAGACCCGGTAACTAGTGTCGACTCCCCAGCATCCTTTTAGTGGACTGCAACTGTAGTACCTCATAGTCCTTCCCAGGTAACTCCAGCTCAGGGAGCCCGATCCAGCAAAAGCCAAGGCGTAGGTATTTCTCAGACAGTAGGCATGGTAGGAGGTACCCACTCCCACAACCTGACCAGCACCTCCAGCATCCACCTGCTGCACGCTAGCACCTGAAGTCCAACACAGGTACAGGTCATTCAGTCAGCAAGCAGTTACAGTTTACCATCTGATCTTTCTAACTAGAAACAGTTATAATAATAATAATAATAAAATTTACCACTGGATTGTCGAAACTGTCCAGCTATGAATTTCTGGGCCCTGTTTGAAGTGTCAGCTCCCCAGATTCCTGCAGGTCCGACAGAGACATGCTTGAATCGAACTGAGGTGGTCAGTCTGTACCAAGATGTTCCAATCAGGAGGTACGCATAGCCCGATGTGTCCCTTGCGATCACTTTCCCCAGCCCAGCATCAACCTGTGCAGCGTTATACAGCCGTGGAGCTTCATTGCAAGACCAGGCTAATGTGAAGACAAAATCATTATTAATGTGAGTGTTAAATGTATATCAATTTTAAGAAAAAACTAATCAAATCTAATGTCATTATTAAATTGCTTCAACAATTAATTTTGTAATAAAAAAAATAAATCAGAGAGTGACCTACCATGACTGGCGGCCAGGTAACACAGCACTAGCAGGAAGGCTGCAACAGCTTTCATGTTGTCTCTGTGTTTGTGGGTCTGTAGTCAGCAGTTCACCTCTGGATGTACCTCTGTATCTGAGTGGAGCTGCTGTCCTGTAACATGCCTGGTCTGTCTTGCTTTTATACTCACATGGACCTATACGGGTCTGAACCAAAGCTGGTTCTGCAGGCTGTTCGGGGAAGGAGGAAATATTTTTTTATTTAAATATTTACTGTAATCTGTTTAAATGAAATACGTGCCCGGTTTGACGGCTTTTGTCAGGTAGAGCCTCCCATTTTGCACTAGCCAAGAAAAAATAATGAAGGGTGGTGAACTCTGAGATTGAAAGCACAGATGAGATGGAAGGGATGTTTTTTGTGTTGGTTTGAACATGTGACATGCTATCACACATTAAACTTTGTCAGGGCAGTCAGATTGTATTTAGTTACTTTGCATCACTGTCATGAATTACGGGACTTTCCCAAAATTCTGTGGCAAGTATTTCAAATACAACATAATCATTCTTGTTGTTTGATGTTACAGTAGATTGGTAAATAAAAGTGGGCATTTTTAGCACAGTGTCAGGATTTTGTTTTAACAAAGCTAAACATAATAAGCATGTCAGTGTTCCCCTTTACATTGACCTGACTTTGCCAACAAATGTGCATGTGAATATATATCACTTATATATTTTGTATCATTTATTTTAGTATATTGAGGACTGGAAACAAGTCTATATCCAAACCAAATCCACCTACCAGCACCTTTAAGCCTCATTAATTATATTATTTCTGGTTTATTTAAAGCTGCAGTAGGTAACTTTTATAAAAATAACATTTTGTCATATTTGTTGAAATTCGTACATGAGAACGATAATGTGTGAAAAAAATCAGGTTCCTATAGCTCGTTCTAGTGCTATCTGTGCTCACAAAATCAAGCCTGCATGTTGGGATTGTTTGTGTGTGTGTGTGTGTGTGTGTGTGTGTGTGTGTGTGTTTAAGTAAAAGGTGTGTACTGAATGGATGAATCACTCATGAACATTGCATGGCATTTATAACAGAATGTTTATTCTGTGCAAACTTAATCACAGCAGGGAGACAGAAGAGAGTTATTCAAAGTAAGAGATGTGATTATATTATTCCCAAAAGATTATGACAAAACATAAAAGCAGTCCTGGTGAACCATCACATGTCAGAAAGGATTATCTTGATAAAATGTTCAACAGCAGACAGTGTTGATTTTAAATCTGTCTTGTTGTACTGACTGTAAACTGCTCTAGATAAGATCAAGATATAATTTGGACTTCTCCACATGTCAATGGGGTGTGCACTGGCTGTAGTACAGTATAGTCGGTATACAGTATAAAGAGTTTGGAGGGAGGTTTTTTGCCTTACAAAATTTAAAAACATATGAGTGATATATATAGTAGTGTAATTTGACCAAATATGAATCAAGATTCTGTTACTGCCGTGCCTATTTCTCACATTCTTTTCAGAAACATATTTTCGGCCAAACTCAAGGCTTCAAAACGGTACTCCACAAACCAATGGATGACGTCACAATAGGTTGCACAATGAAATGTAAGTTGTAGCCCCTTCACAACCTTTAGAAAATAAAAAAAAATGTAATGCAGCTTTGACATATATTTAAAAAGATTAAAAAAAATATACACTAATGAAAACATACCTATGAATATTATGTTCCATTTCTGCCAGTAGATCCTCCAAAATGTTACACACTGGACCCTTAATGGCCTTTACTCATGAAAGTATGGCAATTGGTTTCCATAAACCACCTGATCATTATCTCACTGTTGATGAGTTGAAACTCACAGTTCATACATGTCTGAACCATGGTGGCTTATAGTCAAGAGGAAGTATGGGTCGGACCACAGCCATCTTCAAACTCGGCCTCTATTTTGATCTACACACCTGTGAAGTTTGATGACTGCATCTCAAATCTGACCTCAGACAGGCACCTGGCAAACATACCTAATACTGCTTCTATGGTAGTTCCCGCTACAGTAGCACTATCGCAATCATACACACAAACACACACACCCACACACCCACAATGTGAAAACAATACCAGCAATGCTAAGAAGGAAGGACAAATACAAGTTACCGAAATACAACATAACAATACTGTATTATACATATTAAATGAGTCGTGCAAACTATCACACCGGTGTTCTTTTACAATCAGAGGCCTCCAGCAAACATGATCCGACAGGGACATTTCTAAGTATTAATTGGGCATTTTTAAACAGTACAGAGATGAAATGAGGGAACAAGATGCAACAAAGGTCCCCAGCAGGACCCCAAGTGGGGATGCTGCAGTCCATAGTCAGAGTCCCAACCCCTACACTGCCCGCAGATGATTGTTTCATTATGGTTTCAGCTATTGCTACCTGCACACACATCGCACTTGCAACTTGTACTTGTTTTTTAGGCTTTGTCTCAGAGGATTTTCCAAACTGGCTGCCTTACTTAAAACAATTGATAGCTGAGTCACACTATGCCAGCATTTATGTGGATACGTTAGAAGCATCTTGTAAAATCAGCTATTTACATGGTGCAGGTTAGCTTTCGCCGCTTAGCTGCATTATGAATTGATCTCTTCTGCAAGTATGGATGTGGAGGAATGATTTCATAGATTAGCTTTTCCACATTCTATTCTTGCCTGTAGTTCATTCAGGAAATACTCAACATTTCCTAAACAGGGTCTTTTTTTAAAGCGCAGACCAATAACTCTCCCAAATTAAAGAAACAAAATTGCGGGCTGACAGTGACATGATGGCAGTTTTTATGGTTAGGGCATACCCTTTGGGTATCAGGTATCAATAGTTGTTGGTGGATGGTCATGTTGGTTATTCGATTTAACCCTGGCCATTCTTTGCACGATCCTGTTTAAATCAATCTAAAATAAAAACTACAATAGCTAGTGTAGCGGAAGGCTAAGGGTTACATCTTTAATGTCATCATGTTGCACGCTCTGGGTGACGTCACAATTTTCTACTGCAAGGGGTCTCTCTCACATCAAAACACACAAAAAAGACATAGTTTGATGATGGTTTGAAGTAATGTAATATCGGATAATGGGAGTTTTTGTCTTCATAATTAAACAACCACCATTGCTGAGGAAATGATCTGACGTGACTCAGGCAGAAATCACGTCCACAGACGAGGTAAATTAAACTTTTATTTCATGCTATGTTCAGTCACGTCTGCTGACTTCCTCTCACTCTCTGCCATGTTTACCCAGAAGTTATAACAACTAGAAGCAAGTAAGAAACATACCTAAATAAAATCTTCCCGTTTACCACGATGCTTCCATATTTTAAAGTGACACCATCGATTTTACACAGGAAGTAGTAATGAGGAGTCCTACTTTGCCCGTAAAAACTGCTGTATAATATCTTCTGTGGCTATAAAGGAACATTCCAAAGTTCTGATGATCTCTTCAGCTTGAGATGCATGATTAAAGTTTAGTTTAAAAAAACAAAAAGTCTGGTAATTTGGTATTGGGGCCTATAAAAGATGCTACTGAGTAACAATATCATAAATTCCATGGGGATTCTGCAGGTCCATACTGCCTCTTGTGGCCTGCTTTTGAGTACAAAAACAATATACATCTTCATCACAGGTGCAGAACTTCCATCAGGTTGACAGGGGTCATTTTTACACATTTAACATCTTAAAACAACAATATAAAATGGTGACCTTATCTGTCATAGCTGAGCTGTTACACCATCTGCCAGCCATAAAGCATCACAGGAAGGTACTGAAGGTCAGGGTAATGGACTGAAACAAATCCACGATACATAAATAAATAAAAACAAACAGGAAAGAAATCAGACACAAGGCAGTTACACACTGTTAAGTAAGTTCTGCACAACCAGAGAGATTGGCAGGGTTGTGTGACTTAATACAGGCTGTGTTGGACGTGTGTTGTGTTGTTTAATAATATGGGCTCCCACTGGCTCACCAGAGAGTCCTTCACCATCTCCTCCTCCTCCTCCTTCACTTCCTCCCACACTGCCTCTCTTGGCACTTCCACAGCATGCAGCATCATGACAACTTGTGTGTGAGATGTAAATACTGACATATACACAGCATCATACTATCTTGGGAAAACTGGAAAATTTTTATGAGTAAACAAGGTCTGGTAGAAGAGTCATGGCAGGTTCAGATAACTTTTAAGCAGCTTTGTTTCATTACGAACTCTGTATGTGCACGTTTGTGCTTCGTCTTTTCATAAGGATGAGATATCTGCACAAAGGTAAAGGTATTTTATCACTTCATAGTTCTTCAGGGCTCTATACAAAGAATATCCTGCCACTTTCTTTCTACTGTCTCTGCCCTCTAATTTATTCCTCATGACTCTCTCCTCCCTGTCCTTTGTCTCAATAACTGAGTGCTCTGTTTTCCTCCTGTCTCTCTACCACGACCCTAAATAGCATAAGGCAGAGCTACATCCTGTTTATTGGTAAACAGCCTCACTTTTTACAGACTGTTGAGCAGGTATAAGGCATCAGGTGTAAAGTCATAAATCCTCCAGTATACTGCCCTGCATTTTAATGAAGTCATTAAAAAGTCTGCTGAAGGTTGAATGGTTGTTGCTTTGTCTGTCTCTTTATTCTACCCTCTCGCTCTTGTTTTTTTTATATACACTATAACTTTGTTGTTTCAATTGAATAAGAAGGAGCTGTCAAATCAAAAGAATCAAAAGAAGATTGTAACTGGAAAATTCAGATTCCCTGTAAACCTTTCCCACAACAGTAACATTTTAAAGATAGCCTATAAAAGTAGTAATAGCCTTTTCTATATTTCTTTGACAGCCCGCTCCGAACCTGATGGTCGAAGGTTGCAGGCACGTCCAGCATTTCTTAGTCCCTGAGGATGCCACTATCCGGGGGGACAGGCACTGACAGAGGTAACTTGAGGCTCCATAAAGCCTTGGGGATCCACCCCCCCCATCCCAGCCCATGCCCCACGCCGGCAGAGCCATGACACTAATGGTTCTATCTGCTTTCTAATATTGGAGGCCATCTATCACAGGAACAGGGGTCTAACAGTGCCAAGTACTTAAGTATGCCCCTATTCAGTGCTCCGATT